CAATTCAGTTAAAACCAGTTCAATTAAATTTGGTTAAAATCAGTTCAATTCAAATCACTTCACACAGTTCAGTTTTAGTTCTGTTCAGATTCAGTTTAAATTCAATTTAATTCTATTTAGGATCAGTTTAATGGAATTTTAATGTAAATCTTTCAAATCAATAGATTTTAATTGCTTGTCATTCTGTAAACATTGCTCTGCTGGAGGTCTTTGAACTACTAATTGTTTGAAAAGCTGGTAGAAAGACTGTTCTTAAGGATTCACTGCAAACACTTTACACACTAACACTTGCAGCAAATTAAACATTCAAGTGGGTCAGCTGATGCTACTGGCCCAGTTGTTCTATTAGTATTTAATGAACTCAGGTTTACACCTTTTTTATTTGTCCGGCACATAAACAAAAAGGCACAGTAAGCAGATATCCAGTTCTTCATAAACAGCAATTCTGGGTAAACTGCTGCTGTATGATTTTCTATATTCCATAACACCTTTCACAAAAGCCCACTGGTAAGTATGTGGGGTCTAGATCCAAACAGTGGTCTTATGCCTGTGTGTTTTGCTATGTCAGGTTATAGTTTGTCAGAGGTTAACAGGTCCACCGTGGTCCATGTTGGTGCTGACTCTGCACGTCCATCAGCAGTCATTAACCAATGCCCGACTCTGTATTCATTACATTTGAGCCCCTCTGAGTCCTGATGAACTGATGCTCCTGATGACTTTAATAAAATTACTCATTTTGGTTAGAGTCCAGAATGTACAAGTTATACTTTAATGAAGCCTTGAAAATCTTCCCAACTTACATATTAACCCCTGGAACTCAGCTCTGAACCAAGCTGAAGCAAATAATGGTTATTTAACGGGTATTAAGCAAGCTTTTCTTCCAGCCTAGCTATTTTGAGAACAAATATGCATAACACAGCATTCAAAGTCATGAAATCGAAGCATATTTGTTCCAGATGAATTTTCCCATCTATCTTACTTGAGGAAAATCCCTTGTTTTGCTTGCTTGGGACACTGTGTCATATGCCAGCTGGCAGAAACCAAAGTTCACCCTCGGGACTGCTGGTTTGGGAGGTCAAGCTGCAGCCAAAAGAACAAGAAGGCGCCGAAAACTAACACTGCATGACTTTTTCAGGAGGTCAGAATTCTCTGTTTGCTGTGGATCCAGACTCTAACGGCGGGATCTTCAGTATGTCCTCCTGAGCTCAGCTGAGAGATCATACAGACAGGTTTATCACAACATCCACTGCAAAACATATTTACAGTAATACTTTAAGAAACCATAACATTTCTATAGGGTTGGGGAGAGCAGGGCACAAACTTCTGCTGCCTAAAAGGTAACATAGACATTTTATGTAGTTAAACAGACTCAAGTAGGATGTGCTTTTGGTCATCATCTTATATTTCCGTAGCAACATCATATGCAAATTTACACAGCAACTGGACATATATATTTCAATTCTCTGCACCATTTTTGGATCATAAAAATAACTTTTTTCATGAAGGGGTTTTTAGTTACTGAGTTTAGTTAGTGTGAGTGTACACAGTCATATGCAAAAGTTTAAACACCCCTATTTAGATTACATGTTTTGTTGATTTTCTTGTGAAAATCAAAAAATTGTGTGTTTTCTGCAAAATAATACACCAAAACATGGCAATTTTTCTCAAATTTTAGTGCACATGGTACATATTTTTATTGCATTGTGTACATTTGATTCGGTTAGTTTTGGTGTCACATTGCGGTTTAGCGAGCGCACTAAAGAACTTCGCATGACACACCCACGTTTCATGGTTATCACCCACATGGGCTGTGTCTCCCTATACTTGCTGTCCAGATAGTCAGTCATAAAAAGGAAAGCTGTCCTTTACATTTGCCAAAGCACCACTTTTTCTGACATTGTGCACATTTATACACTGCTGCCGTAGTTTCTCTATCTTCAGATGGCATTGCTCTCCCGTCCTGTCACAGCCATAGTCTTTCTGATCATCTCAGAAAATGAGGTATAAGTTTTGACTTTTGACTTTTTCATCGAACCAAATTATAATTCAATATTTTGTCTCCTCCTCTCCCCATGTGTTACAGTTGTTTTTCTTCTTCTATTGTTTAATGGGTGAAGGTAGCCACCCCAAAAAAAGTGTTTTCACAAAATAACCGAATCATGATTCAGTTAGATTCAGACCGAGACCACCTCTTTTGATTGAACCAAATTTTGGTCCTTTGGTCCGGACTGTGGTCTGAGGTGCCTTTCATGCCTGCTGTTTTAGATCAGACCAAACTGAAATATCTGAAGGTTCCAGTCCAAACAAGGTAAGTATGAAAGCACCCTAATTCAAAATCAGACAGTTGAGATGCACAAAGATGAGGAAAAACAACATAGCAAACTATGTTACCTAAAAAAAACCCTAAACCTATTATCATAGGTACAAGCATATTGCTACTGCGGACATGAAACGTTTATGGTTGATTTATATCTTACCTGTTGCTTTGGATGTTTACTTGGACACTTTCACCAAGCCCATGCCAGCTTTTGCAGTAAAAAAGCATTGCATGTAGCTAAATTAACTGAAAACCGTCAACAATTACTTTGTTGTACTTTTGTTTTCCGCTTTGGATGTGTAGAAAATGTCAGTTTAGGGGACAGATATGTTTTTAAACATCATTAGTTTCAGCTTTTAGCACAACTGGAGCTCCATATTGAAAAACTGGCGGCTTGAAAACTGGTGGCTTGAAACCAGTGTAATAAACTATGCAGAGCACTGCCTGTTGTGTCAGCCAATACCAGACTGGATGATATTGTGAGATTCACACAGTTAAATTTGATTCGCTAATCTCTTGAGACTGATGTTAGTTTCTTACTCGGATTTCTGTGCAGCAGTTGCATGCTAGCGCCTAGCGAGGCGTCTGAATATAACTGCTGAATCATTTAAGGTGGAATGTGAAATGAGAATGAGAAGCTAACTTCAGCTTCATCTAATCTCTATCCACTGTACAGGGGCTCTGGTTTAACCACAACATTACCATAAATATACACTGTGATGTAACATTTATAGTTTATCTGTGCATTTGTGTGCTTATATGTGCTGGTTAATACATTAGCTCACAGTAACCAGCCCAAAACTACTGGCCCATCAAACTCAAGACTCTCCCAATTACACACTCTGACACTGAACAACAGAACTTTATTGAATTGAATGTGTTTGCATTGATTTACAGACTTCTTAGGAAATGTTAATAGTCCCTCAGTCTGTTACAATTAACCCTGTCTATAGGGTAAGTTTTAACATTTGCTCTCATACCATTTTCATCTGGATTGTTCTCAGAACAAAGTGTATGTTTTCATTTGTAGCTGAGATGTGTAGCTTGTTTGTTCAAAAATATTATAAATTCTGCTCAAATATTTTAAAGTGATTTAGCAAAAACCGAAAGGTTTTAAGATGATTTTCCCTTATACTTGTATGTTAATCTATAGGTTTTTTAAAAAATATTTTTCTGTTCGATTGTTTTATAGTAATCTAGTGCTTGTCTGAATGTACTGTAGGAAGATTGTAGGAATCCTACAGAAACTCCTATAGTAGTACCATATATCTTTACCATATGGAATGGCACGTTATAACTATTCTATTACATACCTGAGGAAGGACAGAGGATGAGGCTGATATAGTGGTGTAATCAAACACATTCAACTGTTGAACGAGTTCAGGTGATAACAGCAATTCTACATCATTTCACCACAAGGTGTCAGCTTTTCACAATGTCACACCACAAGGATGAATCCACTTGGAACATCAACTAAATTTTACTGGACTGTTCTACCAAATTAGTCTAAACTGCAGTCCCAGAACCACCCCCCCCAATTCTTTCAAAATAAAGTTGAAAACTTTTTATTTTTCATGAGTTTAATCCTTAAATAAAAACCTTATTTCAAAAACGCTGTCTCACCTTTTCACATCACTACCAAAACACAAGTTTTATTTGATAGGCAGAGCCTTATTTTAGTCACACCCCTGCATTTTAGAGCAGGAAGTAAGATTGCATGCCTGTCCCTCATTGGCAGTTAGATCCAACTGTTTAAAAGTAAATGTGTCCCAACATCTGTAATCAGTGTGTAACTTTAAGACTCATCACTAATGAAACAGATATTTTCTGATATTAAGTGAACTTTTTCATGTTTTACTAAAAATATGATTTTATCTGTGTAGAGATGTTCTAAGCTGTGTTTGCTCATCCTGTACTGGCTGGCACTTTTTCAGTTATGCTCAAAATGAACTAAACTATCAATACTGAAACAGTCACTACACTCTTCAAGGGTTCTTTAGTAAAGAAAATGCTTCTGTATAGAACCATGAACAAAGAACCCTTTGCATGATTAACGGGTTCTTTACATCAGTAAATGGCTTTTCTTTAAATTGGTGGAGAATGTGCTATAGATGGTTCTACGTGGAACCACTTTGAAAAGGGTTCTATATAGCACCAAAAAGGGTTCGTCTATTGTTACAATGTCAAGTTGGTAACAATAGAAGAACCCTTTTTGGTGCTATAAAGAGCTCTTTTCAAAAAGCTTCTATAAAGAACCATCTACAGCACATTCTCCATCAATCTGAAGAACACTTTCCCATGCAAAGAACCTTTTAATTATGCAAAGTGTTATATAGAGCCATTTTCTTTACTAAAGAACCCTTGAAGAACCATTTTTTTAAGTGTATACTGAAGCATTTGATAATGTTTTGGATGCATGATTACTCTATTGGTAGTGACAAAATGGAATATTCATGTATTTATTTTATTAAAACAATCATAATTAAGGTACAGGGTCATTTAAAGCAACAGGATTTTAGTCCAGGTCAGTGTTTTCAACTCTGACTTTGAATGAATTCTGTAGAATGATTTTCAGTCATTTTTACAGAAAAGGAATCCAAGTGTGTTATTGTGTGAAACAATTCCACGCTTTCATTTTCATACCTCATTGCTGCACTATTTGGGCCATCAGTTATTTAGTTGCTGAGTGGGCACTGAAAGGGCATCTCGGTTAATGAGTGAGAGAATGATATTATACACAGTTCACATGGATAGTGGTTCCTATATAAACGTGGAATTCCCTTGGCAGTCAGGACTGCCATCCCTGAACACTTCTCACCTGGAGAGGAGAATTAAACCTCGACCTTTTAATCAGGTAAGATGCTTAACAATTGACCTATCCATAAATACATTCTTTCACAGAAACCGTTCTGAGGTTGAACAAGCTTTACAGAACATTAGCATTAAAATCCTATTCAACCTGATAATAAATTGTAATGTTCCATTTAGTTTTTCTCAAAGTATCTACATTAAGTACTACAGTATTAAATCACACTGCACTTACTTCCATATTGTGGCTTGGCATAGGGGAGGGTCTCTGTGCTAGCTGGTTGTTTCATATGATGATTGGTGGGAATGGTGGAAAGGGGGATCAAAACATGTTTTTATTGGTTAATGTTATTTTTCCCCCACCTGCTGTTTGAACAGTGATATAAACAGAAATCACAATACGTTTTAGAGGCAAGCAAAAGTGGTTACATTTGGATCAAACATTATATTTGATTTTATTTTAAATATTTATTTTAAATGGTTTGGCATAATGGAGTGTGCTTAAAGGGGCAGTCCTGCCAAAATAAAAAAACTTAACCATTGCTGCATCTGTTGTAAACATGCCTATTAGCATCTTACATTAGTGTCGCAGTAGTCTTTAAAGTGAGTTTTGCCAGATTAAACACTAGGAAAACCAAATTATCTTATTGTCTCAAGGCTGGAAGGAGCTTTCTGAAAAACTATGACTGCTTTGGAGTGAATTTTGTGTTTTTATATTATTATTATTATTATTATTATTATTATTATTATTATTATTATTATTATTATGTGTTTTAGATGCTGCATGCAGAAGTAAGCATCTTATTGTATCTGTATAACTGTAATACCTGTCTTTAAATCATTACAGTGGAGAGAATGGATTACTTAAGTGAAAGAAATGACTCATCAAATGAGGAGGACAACAGGCTAATTTTTATATTGCTTTGGTGACATCATTTGATACTTGTTGACATTCTTCTGTGTGTTATGCTTGGCTAGAGTAAGTCTGGTTTAACAAGGTTGTTAAATATTTATATGTGAATTTCTTCAGATGTGTGTGATTTCTCTCGGGGGCTCTATTCTCCCATGCCATGTTCTGCTGAATACATTGCGAGTGGTAATGCAGTAGACATGCAGATATGAACGCATGGTGCACTGAGTGTCCCACAGAATCTTAAAGCAGAGCTCAGCGTAGATTCCACATGGAGGACGAGTGGCATCACCCACTGGCCTTCTTGACATTTTTGTCATGCTGTTTTTGCCGTCTCGGACAGTGTTTTTTAAAAAAATAGTTAGAGTTGTTGCAGTATGCAGTTCCATTATGTGGCTGGTCACCTTGACCACACACTGTGCAGCATATTGAATGTAAACAAGCGTTATTGAACATTCAGTTTTGAGCTTCACATGTGTTCTGAATGCCAAAGATACTGTACACTTACTTACATGAATGTTTTTTTCATGGCTAGCAGTTTTATTATTGTTGTTATTATTATTATTATTATTATTATTATTATTAGTATTAGTATTATTATTATTAGTATTAGTATTAGTATTATTATTAATAATAATAATAATAATAATAATAATAATATTAGTTTTGGTAGTAGTAGTAGTAGTAATAGTAGTAGAAGTAGTAGTGGTATTAGTAAGTAATAATAGTAGTAAACATGGTGATAGAAGTAGTAGTAGTAGTAGTAGTGGTAGAAAAATAATAGAAGTAGAAGCAGAAGTAGCAATAGAAGTAATACAACCCCTATTCCAAGAAGGTTGTGTGACGCTGTGTAAATTGTAAATAAATGTAAATAAAAACAGAACGCAATCATTTGCAAATCTCATAGACCCATATTTTATTCACAATCAAACATAGAACACATACCAGATGTTGAAAGTGAGACATTTAACCATTTCATGAAAAACATTAACTCGTTTAGAATTTGATGGCAATTGCAGTGAGTTATCGTAACTAACTCACATGACTGGGTATAAAACGTGCATTTTAGAGAGGCAGAGTCTCTCAGAAGCAAAGATGGGCAGAGGTTCACCAATTGTGCCTAAAAATTGTGGAACAATTTCAGAAAAATGTTTCTCAACATAAATTTGCGAAGACCTGGGATATCCCACCATCTACAATACATTATATCATCAAAAGATTCAGAGAATCTGGAGAAATCCCTGTACACAAGGGCCAAGACTGACGGTCAATATTGGATGCTCATGATCTTCGGGCCCTCAGGCTGAAAACAGGCATGATTCTGTACTGGAAATGACTGCATGGGCTCAAGAACACTTCCAGAAATCATTGTCTATGAACACAGCTCGCCGTGCAATCCACAAATACAAGGTAAAGCTGTATCATGCAAAGAAGAAGCCATATGTCAAAACGATCCAGAAACGCCGCTGTCTTCTCTGGGCCAAAGCTCTTTTAAACTGGACTGAGGCAAAATGGAAAACTGTTCTGTGGTCAGATGAACCAAAATTTGAAATTCTTTTTGGAAACCACGGACGCTGTGTCCTGCGAATTCAAGAGGAGAGGGGCCTTCCAGCTTGTTATCAGCGCACAGTTCAAAAGCCTGCATCTCTGATGGTATGGGGTTGCATTAGTGCCTATGGCGGGCCCAGCTTACACATCTGGAAAGGCACTATCAATGCTGAACAGTATATAGAGGTTTTAGAACAACATGTGCTCCCATCCAGACAACATCTCCTTCAGGGAAGGCCTTGCATATTTCAGCAAAACAATGCTAAAACAATACTGCATCCATCACAACAGCATAGCTTTGCAGAAGAAGAGTCCGGGTGCTGAACTGGCCCTCCTGCAGTCCAGACCTTTCACTAATAGAAAACATTTGGCACATCATGAAATGAAAAATCTGGCAAAGAAGACCCAGGACTGTTGAGTAGCTATAATCCTACATCAGACAAGAATGGGACAACATTATTATCCCAGAACTTCAGCAATTGGTCTCCTCACTTCCCAGACGTTTACAGACTGTTGGTGAAAGAAGAACATGGCCCTGTCCCAACTTTTTTGAGATGCGTTGCTGCCATGAAGTTCTAAATGAGGTAAGGTTTTTCATGAAATGGTAAAATGTCCCACATTCAACATCTGATATATGTTCTATGTTCTATTGTGAATAAAATATGGGGCTATGAGATTTGCAAATCAATTGCATTCTGTAGTGATAATAGTGAAGATAGTAGAAGTATTAGAAGGTGTAGTAGTAGAACTCATAATAGTAGTAAGCCCTCCCAGTTTTCTCCCTGTTTATTTGCTGTCAGTTTCCGTATGTTTACTACTTGAAATGATTTTTTTCAAATATAATTTTGTATTTTTAAATATGTATTTTTTAATGGGAAACCAATACGTTTCTCTATTTGTCTTGAGATACAGAATGTTCATAGAATTGTATTAAGCAATGTCATATATACAATATTTTGAAAAAGCCATGGAAGTCCTCTAATTCACTTTGTCCATACACATAAACGCACTTCTGTAAAGCTAAAGTAAGAAGACGTTGGTAAAATTTTCAAACCTCTTTCCTTGTAAAAGTCGGCCACTGTCTTTACAGTCCAGCTCAGCTGTGCACCCCCAATAACTGCTCTTACAGATTGATTATAGAGTGAACAGCACTTTGGACTGTGTAGAGCCCACAAGATGCCAACAGGTTTGAGAGGTTTGAGTGACTGTCAGTCGTCATTAATTTCGTCAATCGGAGCCATTGCTTTCAAAAACCCATTTGCCATTGCTCCTACAAGAGAGGTTTTCCACAGCCCTGATGTGAGAAATGGATTTATCTTAAGATAAGAAGCATTTGAAATGAACATAATGGCAGCTGAAGGTAGCTCACGCAATTAACCAGGAGGACTTTGCATCTCCGATGGCCATCTGGGGATTGCAAATGCCTTCTTTGTCGCTTACAACATCTTAGACAAGCTGTCATTTATTCGAAAGGTCATGAACAAGCGCTGAAGAAAGAGACAAATTAAGTGTTGGACAATTGATCCCTTGTGAACGACAGAAAGCTACAGCTTCAGCAAACACTGCTGATCCACTCAGCGTAGCGCAATGTATATCTTAGCATTCTCAAGTCAAACAAGGTCATGTGACAGCAGCTGACACTCTGACCACCTGTGTTCATACTCACCCCCCCCTGCAGGTATTTATCCAGACATCATGTCCTCCCGGCCAATCAGAATCATTTCAACTGGAACTGGACAAATGGGCAGCTTCAATGGTAAGCAGAGTATAGAAATTTATTCACCAAATAATATAGAATGTTATATTTTTTCTTTTCTTTATTCCATTTAGAATGCATTCATATTGCATTGAAAAATTGTATTTATGCATTATGACTGTCATAACAAAACCTTGTTTTCTGAAAATTTCTGAAACGGAAACTTTACAGGAGAAAATGTTGTTTTATTTCAATATTGGACCATTTATGTTTGGTTCCAGGGCCACGAGGCTCCTTAGTGTTTATATATATATATATATGGACATAATATATATGATATTTCCGTACATATATTTATATATTCTTGATGAAATGTTCATACATTATAAATCTGGTAAAAGAATAAATACAGAGTTACAAGGTTATAATATGACATTGACTGTATGTGGATCATTCCACATATTCAGTATAAACTGTGCTCCCACAGTAAAAAATTGTAATATATATATATATATATATATATATATATATATATATATATATATATATATTATATATATTTATATATTACAATTTTTTCCTGTATATACTGTATGTACATATATATATATATATATATATATATATATATATATATATATTGTTTTAGATCTTAGACATTTACAAGAATATTTGTGTTACTATCTCTTTAATCATAATGTTTATTTAATTTAAATTTGATCCGTTTAACCACATTTAATGTATTTTTCCCCAGTATGTTAAAGTCAGCAAAAACACAGTAATTGTGCCTTAAAATATGCAGAAGTGTGTTCTCTGTAGAGGATGTGTAACTAATCCACAAAACATGTTTTCTGACATGAGTCAAAATGCCCAAACATTTGAATACAACTGTAGTAAGCATCATATTGTGTCATATTGTTAGTAGGGTTATTTTATGCATTTGAAACAAAACTAATTGTACTTGCTTGTAAGAAATTATGTAATGAAATCCATTGTATTGTCGGGAAATCAAAGAGCACTTGGCATCAAAGGATGGAAACTTTCACAGATTAGTAGTTTCCATTGACCATGCAGGCCTACGCACTGCTGACTCTATAATAAGGTAAAACTTTCACAAAGAGGTGAAGTGATTTAGGGAAAAACAATGTAGAATTACAGTGTGTAGTAACCTGTCTGTTAGGTGTCTGGAAATAAAATCATTGTTGTTGATTTGTATGTGTGTACAATGTATCATGTGTTATTTGTTGTCATGATATTTACCATTGTAATACTACTATAATGGGCAATGCTAATATAGTGGTTGGTGTAGCCTAGTAGATAACACTGCTGTAATGCATAACATTTTGCTGCAAAACCACTGACCTGGTCAAGGCCTTTGATGATATCAATCATTCCATTTTAATAAATAGACTGGGCAGCAAAGGGTTTACAGCCCATTCTCTCTCTAAGATCACAGTGGATAAAGCTGCAATGACAGAAAATGATCTCTCTCTGTCCCCATTTTGGTTGCTAAAGGTGTCCCGCAAGGATCAATATTATGTCCTTCAATGTTTACTATATGGATCATTGTACCAAAGAGGTTCAAAGTCAGAGTTTAAAACACATTTCAGACTTTTAACTCACTCAGACTAAAATCTTTTCACTTTGAATGTCCCTATATCTTAGTTATGTTTATTTTATTAAAACATAATAAAATGTTGAACATTCCATTTTGTCATTAAAAAAACATCATAACTCAAAAATACTGGCATGAGTAGCATGACCAGCAAAAAGTTTTGAACAGTTCTGCTACATAAAATCATAATATTTTTTAAAGAAATATGAAAAAGGTTACTTAATTGTGGGAAAAAAATGTGTTTCAGTAATGACAATTCTTAATGTTACACACTGATTTCCAGACTTTGGGACACTTCAAAACAATGGGATCTAACTGCTCATCATGTGGCCCTGAGAGACAGGGATGAAGTATCACTTCCTGCTGTAAAATGCAGGGGTGTGGCTAAAATAAGGCTCCACCTACCAACTAAAACTCTCTGTGGAACAATGTGGAACAACATTTTTTTGATTTCTTGAAGTTTTTTCTTTTTTATTTAAAAATTAAACTCATGATAAATCTAAGTCAAAAAATCTTTTTTTCAAAAATTTGAAAGCTTAGCAATTTTTCAGTTCATGCATACATAACATATTCAGTGTAAATCTCTAAGATCTGAAATGTAATTGGTTTTTTACTTTATTATTTTTACAGCAGGACCACAGATGCCTTAACTTACCTCAAATGTCATTAAACATTTCTATGACCGAGATGACGTGGTTTCATCGGAAGGATGCCACGACTGCCCCCGCCTTTAAATTCATTACCACTACTAGTTTCCATTGACCACGCAGGCCTATGCCCTGCTCACCACATAATAAAGTAAAACTTTCACAAAGAGGTGAAGTGATTTGAGAGAAAATGCGGAACTGCAGTGCGTAGTGACCTCTCTGTTAGGTATCTGTGAATGAAATCATTGTTAATTTGTTACTTTTTGATTTGTCTGTCTTCCTTTTCCTCCTACGCACATGGTGTTTTAGGGATCAACCTGCACAGCTCCAGAGCGTCAGAGTGTGCGGAGTGCGACATGGGCTCTACCGTGGACCTCATCAGCAGCTGTTCCCACTTACACTCCAGTGGTCCTGGATCTCCATCCCACGAAGCCTGGGACAGCGGAAGACTTCCAAAAATCCAAGGTGTGCTTTCTGTGTGTGTTGACTGTAGTCATGATATTTACCATTGCAATAGTTATATACAGTCATGTGCAAAGGTTTGAACACCCCTCGTCAAATTACTGACTTGATTTGTTGATTTTCTGAGTCAAATCACATCCTCTATTAGAAACTTTAACATGACATTTTCTGCAGATTTAAGTGCTCAGTTTCTGTTTATTTGCTTCGTTCAACAAACAAAAAACTAAAACATGAATAAAAAATATGATGTCATATCTTATGCATTTTGCACAGGGCAGTTTTACTTTTTTTCTGATATATTAAATTCAGCAAATAAACAGTAATTGTGCATTCAAATGTGCAGAAGTGTGCTCTCTGTAGAGGATGTGTTAATTTAATTTCACTTAGAAAATCAGTTCGACATGGCCAAACGTTTGCACGCAAATGTGTATCACATATATCACATTTACAGTCAAGTGGCTCTAGTGATCCTCTCTCTCTTTCACCACTACATTACATCTTGTTTCGAGGGGAACTGGAGCTTTCCACTTTGCTGTTGCATTTTTCTTATTTAGTTGCTTGTTGAGTTATCCATTGTCCAGTGTAGTCTGCTTAAGGCGTCCTCTGGTGCTAGCATTACTGATGTTACTGATAGTGCTGGCATCAGTGGTGAGTTACTTACTTAAGACTCAAGGTCCTTCAGTGCTAAACAGCTTCAGTATGGCAGTAGCTGGAAATAACTTCATGCCATCAATGAAACTTGCCATTTAACAGCTACATTGGAATGAGAGGCCTACAATGTCAGAGCCAAAGCAACAGCACACAAGCAGCTGGGTTTTAGCCTGGAACTAAGGGTGGTTTGAAGGGTCAGACTATGAAAATGTGATAACAGCATTAAAAAATCTGTGGCATTAATAATGTAGCTTAAAGAATTAATAATGTAGTTTAAAGAATATCTGCATAAGAACCCTTAACCCTCCATGTTTTTAGGGAAACAATAGTTGTTATATATATATATATATATATATATATATATATATATATATATATATATATATATATATATATGTATAAAATGACTATTGTTTCCCCACATAATTCTGTGCCATTCTGTTGGTAACTTGAGTTTCCAAATTATGCAAAAAGTAAAAAAAATAGTATTAATATAAAATCAATTAGTAGACTTATAAGAATTAACTACATCATATTAAAGATTTTTTACTTTTTTAATATGTTATTTGTTAATGTTTTCTAATTTCTGAAATGTGACTAACCACCCTATCTATCACAGAGTGCTCAAAATATCTTTGCCTCTCACAGTAATTTGAATGTATTCTGGGAAACTGTAAAACATTTGTAATCATTTGGTCAAAGGCTGCACTTCCCTCTGCACTGTGGAACCAATGAGTGCTCTTAATATGACTTTTGCCTTGTCTCCTTCATCATTGTGTGATTTTTCTCTCTCTTCAGTGCTGCCTGAGGCTCCTCATAGAGAAAAGACAAGAATGAAGTCACTCTTCATCAGCGTGATGAAAATTCCACTCCTCTTTTTCCTCCTCTACTGCTTCGTCTGCTCCCTGGACACCTTGAGCTCTGCCTTTCAGCTGGCTGGCGGTAAATATGACCCTTTAACCATCCCTCATGAGGGCAGTTACTCAGCTTCTGTGGATGCGCTCATCTGTAGCAGAGCAGCTTTCATCTAGTACACGTTTAGAGGCCTAATCTCTATCCAACACATCTGTAGCATATGGTCTATTAACATAGACAACAATTCTAATGCATTTCTTTGTGCTTAGAAAAGAACAGAAAAGCTGTTGACTCTACACACAACAGGACTGGCCTGAATACTCAAATATTGTAGGCTAAACTACAATACATTTAATCAGCAAAAGCCTTTACATAGAATAATTATTGTCATTATATAACAGTAAAAATAAAAAAAAATATGAAAATAGTAAAAACAAATAATACAACAGCTGTTTTTGTTGAACACATCATACATTGATCCATGTCACTTTACCTCAAGCATGGCAAACTACACCGCTTGCCACTGAAGCCAGAAGAGCAGAGATGCTTCAGAAATCACACATGTGGACGCACTTTAAATTATCAGACGCTAAGAAAAATATCGCTTGGATACATGCTTATTTCAGTTAATTTACAGTATAACAGGTATATGCTATTAATACATTGTTGCCCCTACTGGATATATTTTAAACTGTAGTAATGAACGTACTCCAAATTACAGTTGAGAATGAGTGTTCAGGCACTCTTTTTGAAATACCGAGTACTCGATGGCTGTAAAATGCTACTCTGGCCCACAAGCCCACTAGTGCACATTCAGAGGGTGGTTGGACGTGGACATGTCCCTTCCAAATTTTGTAATTATGAGAGATACATTTTTGGGTTGCAGATTGATTGTTGATAAATGTACATATTCGAGTTTCATAAGAGCAGTCAGCCTTAATCTGCCCTGGAATCACTTTTTGAACACTTCTTTACGGTACTATGATTGTTTACTGGCTTATGCCATAACAGTTATTAGCAGTTCTTTCTTTTTCTTATTAATTATCATGTTTATTATTATTGTTTTTTTGCATAAATATTTATGACAACATGCAAATCAAATTAAGAATTTTAGTGACACAGTGGAAAGAAAAAGAGCCACCATAACAGGTTACAAAATTGTATCTCTATGCTGAATATGTTTGATATTACTATTATTTGTTTTTTTGTGTTAATATTAAAGCCGGAGGTATCAATATGGTACATGTAATGGTAGTTTAGCCATTTTTACATGTGGATTGCTGTACGTAAGCTATAGCCTCCTGACATTATTCCCCTCAAAATTTGCACACCTATGCCAGACCTACAAAACATGCTTGTAATAGAGGTCAGTGGGCAGGTGCTTGTCCACTGGCTTGTATTAGAAGTCTATTCTAATACAACACGTTCTGTATTCTTTTCTAAGTACAGGAAAACACACTGAAACTATCACTCAGGTCTTCCTTTTAAGACCCATACCTTAACAAAGTAGTCCTGGGGTATAACACTGATCACTCATGGCTGGTATTCCAGACACTGATTTTAGCCTATTAGCAAACTGAAGCATTTTCAATTCTTCATTAATTGCCCAACTATGTGCAGGACCATAAGAAAACCCCCTCATATATGTGCAGGTAAGGTGGCAGGAGATATCTTCCAGGACAACGCCATTCTGTCGAATCCAGTGGCTGGGCTGGTGGTTGGAATTCTGGTCACTGTGCTGGTTCAGAGTTCCAGCACATCCACATCCATCATCGTCAGCCTCGTCTCCTCTGGACGTGAGTATTACAGAGACCACACTTACACCAGTTCCTTTAACTCTCTCTCAGTAAATCCTTATTCTGAAAGATAAGTGCTTATCATTCGTATCCTGCTTTCTGACAAATCAACAAAAATTAAAACTACCAAAAGACTTAAGGGGCCCATTTCCTACATTTTTCTTGTATTTCATAATTTTCCCTGTGGTCAACTTACAAGGCATATTTATGTAACAAAAACATATCATAGCTCATTTGTACGTGACCATTTCTCCCAACTGTTCTTTATCCTTTTTAAACAGGCTGTTTAGTTAGGCTGCATTAGTTTTCATTCAGAATGGGGTATTTTTGCAGCTTAATTTCTCTATGAACTAAGGTTAGGGTTAGAAGATACAAATTACAACAAATCAAGCTTGCTAATTTAAAAAAAGAGAGGAAAATTTGGTTTAACATGGGCCCTTTAATCTAATCTAACTTTATAAATCCTCATTTTCTTTTGTAGGTACAACATTTAGTCAAATAAATTTCTTCTCCTGGATTTTGTTTTTTAAACAGCACAAATCATCATCATGTTTGATTAAGAGGTCTTGTTTAAAATCTGTGCTTTGTTACTCTATTTACAATCATGCTTCTCCAATTAGCTCATTCCTCAGAGCAGATGGTGTTCAGGCCCAAAATTCCACAAAGAGGTTGGAGTACAACAGGGGATTCAAGTCCATTACAAGTAGCTTTTGAAATTAAAGAAATGCTTGTCATGCTTGATGGAAAGTTACATTTTAATGCACTGGTTGTCACCTGAATGTGTGAGTAGAGCATCTGCCCAAAAGTGTCAAAGTGATGTTTGCAAATATGTGTTTTAGGTAGTTTTAGCAGGGAAGCAGCATCACGTTAGCTCCACAGGGTGTCAAAATGCTTTAAAAGGCCAATAGACTTTTCGTATATTTTACTTTTTTTCCTGTTCAGTCCGCTTTGTGGACCTCTTTATTCTTTATAATCAATCTGACTGTTTTGATACTGTGCCTTTAAGACTGATACATGTAAATGACATTTGTTCTGAATGCCCTGCATGGTGCTTTGTTCAAAAAGCTATATAGCTGTCATTCTACACATTTTGTATATGACAAGAATGGGCAGAGCTAAATTGCTGTAGACTGGAAGCATGGATATAAATGTGCTGGACATCACAAAACACAAAACGAGGTGTGTTTTCGGCCTATTTTCCAATAATATGGACTGAACAGTGAATGATACATTTTGAAACTTTAACAGTATTTACATTCTACATCAAACTCTTTTATTTCAACAATTCGTTTTTCCATAATATAAGTCCTTCTGCGTGCAGTATTTGAACCTGAAATGCCAAGCGAGTTTGATCAGGTTTATTCTGTATTTTTTCTCTCTTTCCTCTGGTTCACTGAGGCTGTGAACAGAAGCTAATGGGTGTCACAGTTGAGCACACAGTGTTTTCACATGGTGGACCACTGCACTGGCTTGAAATGCAGACGTTGTGTCTTGTTCAGTGATTTCAGCACACAGCAGAGAGTAATTACCAGCAATTTACTGATACTAAAAGTAGGTGTGTTTAGGGCAGGTATAGTCTTTGACGTATTACTGCTTCCATTTAGTCTTGTGGGTCATTGGCATAGAATGAAAATCATCAGCCCCCAATTCACTATCACCTCTGCCAGGAATGGCAGGAATGAGATTTAGGCTGAAAATGCATGAGTCCCTGAATTGCTAGGCTTTGAAATGATTCTGGAGATTTTATGTTATTATTCAGTCCAGAGGCTATTATCACTCTGTGTATTATGGACCACTGATTTACATTCATTTTTCAATTGGGTAAATGCAGTCAGCTCATGAATACATTCATTTATGAGCATGTATGCGTGTGTGTGTGTCTGTGTGTGTCTGTGTGTGTATGTGTGTGTATGTGCGTGTGTGTGTGTTTCAGTGTTGGAAGTGAAGTCTGCTGTTCCCATAATCATGGGCTCAAACATTGGCACATCCGTCACCAACACCATTGTAGCTCTGATGCAGGCTGGAGAGAGGAGCGAATTTAAGCGGTAAGGAGATACAGGCGGCTCTATCTCAATACAACGTCATCAGGCATCAGTTCTTCATCTCACCAACGTCATCACCGCCATCACCACCACCAACGTCACCATAATCACCCACAGTTGATTATAATAGAGAAGAAGAAGAAAGCCTAATCAAAAGTGTGTAATTCTGAATATGACTCAGCCGTGATCCATCCCTGACTGTGTCCCTTATCACTAAAAGACTTCATCTTCAGTGGCTATAGATGTATTAACACTATTTTTTTTTTCCATTTGGATGCAGATTGAAAGAATAGTTCAGCAAGAAATCTCATTTACACTAGTTCCTCTCTTACCTCAAATCAGCCAAGACTCGTATAATGAGATTGGACCTTCAGCATATGCTTGTAGTTTGGGAAGAGATAGTATGACTGTACTGGAAGAGAGAACTCTGAGAACTTGCATATGATATTTCTGGCCTTCTTCACATTTAAACTAGACCCAACTTGATGAACAGGAGCAGGACTGAGAAATATGGAGGAGGATATGGGGTAGTGGGTGTCAAAACTTTGTCACAGAAAATGGTAGGACATTAGATTGGAGGGAGCCCGTTAGTTCATAAGAGCATCTTATTAGTTTGCTTATTCAGACAAAACACATTGCATAGCAACAAACAGTAGTCACAGCCAAGTCTGAATTTTGTCCATGTTTTTGGCCATTTTTACAGATAACTATATTTCATAGTGTCAGAAACCACATAAGCAAGTCTACTTGGGATTACTTAAAAAGGCTAGTTTGATGATTTAAGTGTGCTGTTTGCATGATGCTAATTGGTGCAGCGTAAGTGTAGTAAAGGAAGAGCAACGTACAACCTAACGCATTTTTATTTTTTAAGCAAGATTATTTTGGTATATAAGCAAACCACACATCTCTGCTATAAATCAAAACATAAACTTTGTCTCCAGTACCTACCATTCATTGTTCATTTGAACAGGTTGTTACATCCACTCATTAAAAGTCTGGCAAATGGATGGAAACACAATTTATGCAATATAGTTCTATGTTGTTTGAACCAGACAGGCCTTCCAACCTAAATACATTTAAAAAATCCAGATTAAAAAATATGAATTGTGAAACTTTGTCAAACATGGCTAGTTTATTTAATACTGCAAAGTAGCCAATATGAGCATGATAAAATAGCCAATAAGAAGGTAATTACAATGATATAGGTGTGAATTACACATACAATACAGTAGTCAGAAACACATATCATAAAAAACGTTACTTTTATGCAACAAAAACATTCTTCAAGGTGAATCTTGAGAATTGTCTTTTTTATTTGCTTTCAAAATTCACAGCCAGCATTGCTATATGAGAGGATGATCAGAACCACGTTCAGCTTGACAGTGATAACCACATTCTACTTCCCCCCTGTGTTACACTGTGCTCAAAGAAAACTAAAGAAACACATTCAGACATCAGACATGTCTTGGCTGATTGCCTGTGTTTGGGGTAAGAGGAAAAGGATCAAATTTAAGCCCCACACTCTCTCTGTCACTTTGCTCCAGACTGTTCAGTATGCTCTCTGTTCATTTACTCGTCTCTTGCTGTGTCTGTGTGCAGGGCGTTTGCGGGAGCTACCATCCACGACTGCTTTAACTGGCTGTCAGTGCTGGTGCTGCTGCCTCTGGAGGTGGCCACTGGACTGCTCAGCTTTCTGGCCCGGGCTGTGGTCAGCAGCTTCCAACTGCAGAGCGGAGAGGAAGCCCCGGAGCTGCTGAAGGTCATCACTGACCCTGTCACTAAACTCATCATACAGGTGCGCAGAGGGTGTATGTGGAAGCAAACAAGTGTGTAAATGTGTGTGTATGTGTGTTACATACAGGTACATATATAGGTCGTTATCTATGTGTACTACATATGGGGCATATCATAGGTTATATAACATAGGTTCTTACATATATAGTACTACACAAAAGTCATATACCTTTATTTATTTAATTTCTAGACTGAAGAACCATAAACCATAAATAACCATAAACCATAAATAAGTTATTCACTTTTCAGTGGATATTTCTGCAGATATTAGACATCAGATAATCAAACAAAGAAGCTGCTGGTGTTCTCAGAATCATGGTCTGACCACCCCAGAGTCCAGACCACAACATCTTTAAATGTTTTTGGGGTTATTCGGAATGTAAGAAGCAGAAATTACAACCAACTTCTATGACTGAACTTTGGAGATTTGGAAAAAATATCCCAGCAGATTTCTGGGTTTACAGTAAATCTCCTGAAAAGAATAGAAGCTGCAATAAAGGCAAAGAGTGGACACACTAAATATTGAAAAATCAATATTATATTTAAGTGTTAATGCTTCTGCGTAATTTTCTGTTATATCTATTCTACTTTTCTGCCTTTTTGCTGAAAAAAGAATAACTTAATGTTTGTTTTGACTGGAAATTAAATTAAAGGGTCGTCTCTGACTTTTGCATAGTGCTGTATACAATACACATAGGGCATGTTATTACATATAGCTACTTACATATATATCACTGTTGTTGAAACAAAAACTTTGTATCTCCAAAGTGATAACTTTACAGGAAAAGGAAAAAAAACATACTCTACTTTTAATGTAAGTCAATGGAATCAGACTTTTTCCAAGTAATTTTGGGTCATTTCTGTTGGTCTATTTATTATAAAATTTACATACAATATAAAGGACAATGGATACTTTCAAATTATGTCAAAAACTGAAAAACGACAAAAAATGGAGATACAAGGTTTTGTTCCAACAGCAGCGAAATACATATGTGACAGATGTATGGCTTCACATCCTGTATATGAACAAACAATTATGTGTGTGTGTGTGCATGTCTTTTTAGACCAAGCTTAAAAATAGTTAAATATGGTTACAAGCAGTGTACCTTGTGTCTGTGTGTGTATGTGTGCGTGTGTGTGCGTGTGTGCGTGTGTGCGTGTGTGTGTGTGTGTGTGTGTGTGTGTGCGTGTGTGTGTGTGTGTGTGTGTGTGCGCATGGTTGTCTGATTACGGTTTGATTACAGTGCTGGTGATTCAGGTTCTTGGTCAGCACTGGCTCATTATCAGCATCACACTGTCATTATCACACTACTTAAATAGTTCAGTGTGACATGCAAAACCCTTGTGTGTTCACCCACATTAGCACTCATTGCATCATTTGAGGTATTCAGTGTCTGTTCTGAATGTGATGTAAACTCTTGCTGACATCTGTCCTGTCTAGCTGGATAAATCTGTGATAACGGGCATCGCTTTGGGAGCTGAGCACATGAGGAATCGCAGTCTGGTGAAAGTGTGGTGTGGGAGCAGCGTTCACACGGTATTGATTCTCTATTCTCTTCTTCTACTGCTCAATTACTTATTTATTCCACTTTTTCCTCACTTATGCAAGACCTCTGTTTTATGTGGCATGGTTGTCCTCAAAGTCTGATCTGAGATTATCTGTGCCGTTTTATTTTGACAGTTCCACATAGGTTTTAGACAGTAATAATGGTTATGATTAGGATTAAGATTAGAACCAGTGTAAGGGTTAAGGTTAAGTTTTTGTCTTAATCTTAATCCTGCCTGTAGGTTACAGATAGTGGATTAATCTGGTTTTATCTCTTTTATATTGAGCCCACCAAACTGCCTGTTTTTTCCTAAAAATATGCATAGTTTTAATTAATGTTTGAGAAAAGATGGGCTACATGCTAAAATGTCTTTTTTGCCAGCTGCTCAGCAACAAATCAGTGTTTTTTTTTTTCTTTAATTTTGGTTACGCTGAGAATCAGACACATTAATCATGAATCAGTTATCATGAACATGTGCCAGCCATGCATGTCATTAAATAACAATGTTTAATGCAGAAACATTGAAATTCAGTTTGTAATTTTCACTAGCGATGCAATGGATTTTCCTATGTTATGTTAGCGCCAAGCTAACAGTGGTAAATATTCACATTTTATGGAATTTATTCGGATTTATGGCTTAAAGGACATTTGAAAAAACATGAAACAGCCATTGGGTAACATATTGTTTAATTTGATTACTATACTTTCACAGTGAATACACAGTGAATACTTCAGCCTGTCTTGAAGTTAGTCTGCCTCTGTATTAGTCTTGGTCTATGTGGGCATTATATATTCCAGTTATGGAACATGCAGGCAGAACATATTCTAGTCATGAAGAAAATTGAGTGTAGACCAGTCACAGAGCCCATAAAAGCAACAGGAGTTACATTTCATTTTTAAAAAGCATTTTTAAGGAATCAACCTTCAAAATACTTATGAATTTATGTGATTATGGATTTTAATCCAGTATGAATCGATAATGACCTCAGTGTTTAGAAGTCTAAGAGTGATAAACCAGAGTAATTGGCCTTCTGTGAGTAATAGTAGCTTGTCAAACTGACCCCACACTAATGGAATAACTATACCTGTTAATAGACATGGCAGTGCAGTGTGCTGTTATTGTATTGTTATTGAGTTTGGTGCCTATCATGCAGTGCCTACATGAACATCTGCTATGCCTTTTCAGTGCAAATTACACAGATACTTTATTGTGTACTACTCAATTAATCAAATCCCCTGTAAATTACATTATAAACTCTCTGGAAAAACTAATTTAGCTCTAATAGTACATTTTTCAGTGAATGAGAAGACTTTTACCTTAACATAATCAAAGCAGTAGGTCTCAGCTCCAGTCCTCCATTCCCAGTATACTGCACGTTTGTACTTTTCCCACTCTAATACCTCTGATTCAAAGCTTCAGGTAATCATCAAGCCTATTATTAGCTGAGTCATGTGAGACTGAGAACGGAATCTACAACAATGTCCAGTACATGCGGTCCCCAGTCTGAGGTTATGTAAGAGGGAGGATACTTCAGAATCTGTTTGGAGCAGCTTTGTTATTTAAATGATACTCCTTGTTCTCAAATGTTTTCTCAGCAGTAATTCTGAGAGCGAGGGACAATAGAGAACAAAAAACTCTCCCAAAGTGATGCTGTGCCAATCATAATTATGCTTGTCATCTACAATCACTACAAAACTAATATGATAAATATACTGTATCCACACTCAGTGGCCACTTTATTAGAAACACCTAGCTTGTATTTCCACATTCTGTCCTCTTTATGAGCTCCAGCTACCTTATAGGTCCACTATAGATGTACAGTTACAGACTGTATGTAGCCTGTTGTCATGAGCAACTTGTTACCAATTGGTCAGTTCTGTGACACTGTGACAGTGACACTGACATAATAAAGGTAGTGGTGTTGGTACAAGTACATCAGGCACAACAGAAACTGACCACTGGTGAAGGGCTAGAGGATGGACAAACTGTATATCAACAGAGGGGCTACACTCTCTAACTGTACTCCAGAAAGGTGGAGGTACAGGGTTGGGATTTATAGCAAAGTTGTAGGTGACAGTATTATAACATCTTCAATGAATGAGATTATCTTTCCCATTTCTAATCTTTTAATGAGCATTTTAAAGCTCCCAAGTATCTTAGTCAATAAATGCACACTGAATTTGTTTCCTAAACTAGTGCTCTTCTACAAACGTGATTAGCGGTCCAGAGGTGGATGGGGGGGGGGTCAAGAAGCAGTCAAGAAGTATTTCAGTTTCACTAACCTCAACCATTTCCTAGTTAGTGCTGGTTATTGTACCTGTTTTTCTTTTTTAAAGATAGACCACAGGTCTTGCTGTAGTGTTCTGTATGACACGTAGGGTTGCAAAAATCTCCAACACAAAGTTTGCATACAAAGCGTCTACCGGGATCTTGAGCTTTATTCAGTTCTCCTGTGACTGCATTTTCAAACTAGCCCGATTTGGTGGGAAATTCACAAACCTGGCAACTGACATTGGGTACGTTTGCTGTACCAAACACTCCACAGCATAACCAATGATTTTACATAACCACCTCTTCTGTAGGTGTGTGTGCACTGGCCTGGACGTATTTTACATGGAGAACTTCAATAGTGTGAAAATCTCACATATGGATGGTGTTAAAATATCAATAGTAAAGAACTTACATGACATCACATTAATTCAAAAGAGGTGGAAAGTGCAGGGTGATTATTTTACATAATATTAACGGGGGGGGGTGCTGTCCTCTCTCAGCCCCCCTCAAATCGAGCCCTGTGGACTATGATGAACAGTGCTATACCATAACACAGTAGGTTCTGATGTTAGACCTCACGTTCACAGGTTGATAGCTACAATGCAACAATGGAGGCTTAGATGGAGAAATGGCTGTGTCTGACTTTGGGAGAAAAATTGGTTTAAAGTATTTCAAGAAGTGTTAGCAGGTGGAAGTAATGCATGCACACAGGTTAACTTCCCCCATAGAAATTCCCACAGAGGTAATTGTGTCCTACAGACTTCATTTTTTCTCCAAAAGGAACTCTTGGAACTCTGTATGAAGTTTAATTTAACTGGTTACTTTTCCGGAGGAGATAATAATGCATTTTTTTTCAAATAACTATTTGATGAACTTCAGAAGTTTATTTGAGATTTTTCTTGAGGTAAATGCATATTGAAATGACAGTCATAATAACATTATTAATAACAGTAATAATGTTTTACATTTATGTTCTCTCTCTCTCTTTCTCTCTCTCTCTCACTAACTGTCTTTCTGCAGCCATCGGCAAATGATTCTCTGAATTGCTCCTCTGTGTTTGATTGCAAGACGGCTCTCACCTCACAAGGCACTGCAGAGAGATGTATGTGCAGTCTCTATGAGCTGAATGAGTATTGTATGCAGTAACTGTATTTTAAGAATCCAATTAGTGTACATTTACATTGTAATGGCTTTCATTCAGTCATTGCCTTCAGCTCATTTTTTAATTATGTTCATCGTTTTTATTACATGTATTTTAGAACAGGCTATCAATGAGTAGGTACTGCACCTAAACATTTACAGTGCAAAGGCAGCCTTGAATGTTTTTGAGACTAACATGAGGTATTTAGCATTAACCCCTTATAATACCAGACCTATTACATCCCAAGCCATAGTATTCAATAACTACATGGAAAATAATGTAATAAACAATATAAAAAAAAAAAGTCTGGACCTGCCAGCAGGTCTTGGCTGTGTAAGAGGTTACCTTTTTTCAAAATCTAGTCCTGACAAATATGTGTTTGCTAAGAGATGCTATTTACTTTAATGGTGTTTCTGCAGTATTTTGACTGTTGGCTGAACAACATCTCCAATTTGCTTTATTAATCTTCATGTTGGTGTCCTGCATGTTGTTAGTTTAAGACCTGCAGTCTTATGGAAAGACCAGCCTTGGTCAAATGACATGTTTTGTTACTTTTTAAGTGAGAACAATTTGGCATGTTTTACAGAGAACACATTTCTGCAAATATTATTACACAATTGCTGTTTATTTACTGAATTTAATATAGTGAAAAATGTGCCCAAACTTTTTCCCAACTCTTTTTCCAATTTGTAAACTTGGCAAATAAACAGAAACTGGGCTGTAAAATCAGCAGGAGCGGTTTAGTAAAACTAAATGCCAAGGACTATAGAGAACATGGCAGGATCATTAAAAATGGCTGCAAACAAGCAAACAAACAAAATTTTTCAGTTTTTTCAAATCAAGGAAAATACAGGTGAAAATACAGAAGATTTGTATTTGCCCTGTAATATAACAGCCAGTGAAAATGTAAAGAAACTGTCATTTGCTTAAATCTCGTTATGTTTGCTTTTCCACGTTACTTACAAAGCTCATATATAAAACTGTATTTCCCCAACATCGTTGAAAATTAAACAGGGTTATATATTATTTCATTCTTAGAGTTTACAAATGACAGTTAGTCCATCAAACACATTTCTATTTATGACAAAAGTTTTTGAATAAGTGCTATTTCTGCAGGTTTATTGGATAAATCACATGGCACCATTGTTGCCAGTGAACTAATATTACAGCAAATAATAATGAATAATATTAAAGAAAAAAATCAAATCCTATAATTTTACAATATGTTCATGTGTATACAGTCAGTAACAATTAGTGAATAGCACTTTGCTAAAAAACTAAAATGGCTGAAAATTCACAGTGATAAATTTGAAATAACCGCTCACCGCTATTAAAAGAGGCACGGCTTTCACACAAGTCACGGTGCTTTATTAACCAGCTGTTATTGGCCACAGCTATGCTGTACATAGTCTCAGCTTTTCTCTAACAGTTTGCTCACTACTCAGCTCACAGACTCTCATTTCTTCCTACTCTCACACATAACCCCCAGCAGACAAGCCGCACCTTCACAATAAGAGTCCTTATCAGAATAAACCAAAGAATAAATGCTGAAGACGTATTGATGATGTTCATCATATACATATTGTTGTTTGTTGAGATTGCTATTTTAGTGTGATAAATGTCCAGCATGGATGGAAAGTAACGCAGTACTCTATTCTCCCAGGCTATCATCTATTTGTGAACACAAACCTGTCGGACTTGACTGTGGGTTTGATTCTGCTGGCTGTCTCTCTGCTGGTGCTGTGCTCCTGTCTCATCCTCATCGTCAAAGTCCTCAACTCGGTCCTTAAAGGACAAGTGGCCAAAGTTATTCAAGTCATTATCAACACAGGTACGAGTCTGTGGAGTCTCTATGGAGAAACCAGTGAATGATTGTGTTTCAGGAGAATGACACTATTATGCACTTATTACTTACTAAATATTAAGTATTATTTATGTTTTTTTTGCTGAACATTTTATTTACATTACATAATTAGTGTAACTTACATTACATAAGTGTAATTGCATAATTGCTTAATTGAGCACTAGAACACTATTATTGTCTGTGATTTGGTCACAGGCACGAGCTGTGATACCACCACCTCGAGTGTTTCACTGCTTTTGCAAAATGTGTTCTCAATTTCTCAAGAAAATAAGTGTTGAAAAATAATACATTTTCTCTTTTGTGAAAGACACAGAACAAACTACAACCAAATACATTTCAAAAGTCATTAAATTTTGCGAATCATGGTGATTTGGAAATGCACATCACCTATGTGTTAGTCATTAAAAGACTGTCTAAAAAGTGCAAAGCAGTCATTACTAAGCAACCAGTGATTAGACTGTGCTGTCAAAACTTACTGTTGTATAACTACATTGTTATGTAAATACATTGTTATGTAATTAATTACATTCAGATTCGATTTACACTCTTTTATCAACATGTTTGCATCTGCGTTTCTAGTTTTCTAGTTTTTTCCCCATGTTTTTTTTTATGTCAATTTTTTTTGTCAAAATGAAAACAAGACTCTGCCTAAAACAATAAGGCTTCATTAAATTCAAATTGTTGCAGAATTTTCTTCAACCACAAAAATGGTATGGATAAAACTGTCAAATCTGTGCTTCAAACAGAATTTTAGTGAACTATGAGTGAAGAATAATAATATAGAATAATAATTTAAAATGACACCACACTCGTATTTTTGACTGTATTGCCTTTGACTAAGGGTTAAACACTGTTGTTGGGCATTATCTGATCTGGAATGATGCAGACATGTGGACATTTGCACATTACACAAACTATCTATCTGTCTATCTAACTATCTATCTATCTATCTATATAAAACTATTCTTTATGTATCATCGCTGTCACAACAAAAACTCTCCAAATTGGTAACATTACACAAGAAGGAAAAAACATTCATTTTTAATGTAACTACTTTTTATTCCTAATACTTTTGGACCAGTTTTATTTGTCTATGCATCATGAAATGTTGACACAGTGTAAACGGCAGCTGGAATTTTCATTTTAATATATAACAAAAAGGAAACACAAGATTTTGTCCTATCAGACACTATCACTGCTCCTCATGTGTGTGCTTTTCCTCTGTGCAGACTTCCCTTATCCTTTCAGCTGGCTCTCGGGATATGTGGCTATGTTCGTCGGAGCAGGAATGACTTTCTTAGTTCAGAGCAGCTCAGTTTTCACCTCTGCGATGACACCTCTCATTGGTGAGTTCACTAAAAGTCTGATCTCTCTCAGTGCTGAGTGTAATATGGATGGCTTTCATCTATAGGCGGCCCTTCATATCATCATATACTGTCACTGCCCACTTTAGAAACCCCTACATTGTTGGTGTGCACTTAGAGACTGCAGCTCATCTGCTGATGCTCCGTTTGTGTTAGTCATCCTCTAGGTCTTCATCAATGGTCGGTATCTGACCACAGAGCTGATTTTGGCTGGATGTTTTTTGGGTGGTATATCGCTCTCAACCTAGCAACCTGAGTGGCCATTCAAAGTAGGTCTTTCTAATAAAGTGGCCAGTAAGTGGCAGTACAAGGTAGGTGTTTCCAATAAAGTGGCCAATGAGTGGAAGTACAAAGTAGGTGTTTCTAATAAAGTGGCCACTGAGTGGAAGTACAAGGTAGGTGTTTCCAATAAAGTGGCCAATGAGTGGAAGTACAAAGTAGGTGTTTCTAATAAAGTGGCCACTGAGTGGAAGTACAAAGTAGGTGTTTCTAATAGAGTGGCCAGTGAGTGGACATTCAAAGTAGGTGTTTCTAATAAAATGGCCAGTAAGTGGAAGTGAGGGTAGGCATTTCTAATAAAGTGGCCAGTGAGAGGAAGTAAAAAGTAGGTGTTTCTAATAAAGTGGCCAGTAAGTGGGTGTACAAAGTAGGTGTTTTACTAAAGTAGCCCATTGGTAAAAGCACAAACCAAGTGTTTCTTTAATAAAGTGGATGCGGTGAATGTGCATAGTTTGGCATATTAGTTTATGAGGATATATTGTTCAATGCACTGCACAGTATCAGATAAAAAGACTCTGAACTTACCAGTGTTCACTGGTCCACAGAATCCTTTTCAGAGCTACAGGAACACTGGCTTTAATTAAAACAAGCAGAGGAACTAGCCTTGGGTACATAACAACATTGCTCCTTATGAAAGTCAGGACACTCTTTGTTGGTGTTTCTGGTTCTAAGAGCATGAACAGAATAAAGAGTAAGGGATATAACTGTCATATGCAGGCCATTAGTCAGGATATAATTATTGTGTAGAGCACATCTTGAGTTAAAATGAAAAAATAGCTTCAGAATGTTTAGTGTGTCCCAAGTCCAAAGATCAGAAATGAGCTGGAATGTCAGCCAAAGCAAACAGTAAAGAGTGAATATTTGATGATGAAAGTGTTTGGAAAGCTTGAATTAATGAACTCATTCCATCAACTAGTGGAGTTAAACTTTAAGCACTGGTGTTTCCCGAGGATAGCGAGCAAAGTTCAAGGAACAGTGATGGAGAAGGCCTCAAATGCTGGCATGCTAATGGATGTTAAATATTGACTTAGTTAAGATCTGTGTAGCAAGACAGAGCACCCCAAATGATGTCTCACTCTATTATTATGCCATTCAATTATTACATTACTCGCTGCCTTGACTTGCTGACTGCTGTGTAATGATGCCTCTGATTAACTTTGAAGACGGTGAGATTGGCCACCACATCTTCCAGCTCACGGTTACCGCCGTGATCATTATTTATTAAATCTGAACAAACTGTTATTGCACTCTGAGATTTTAATTGTTAACGAGACGATCTGCTCTGCCAGAAAGACTTGAACCCATGGACCTCTATTTCATGTAGAATCATTAAGGGAACAAGGGAACCACAAGACTGGCACTGAGCCAGGCAGAATTATGCTAAGTGCTAAAATGAATATGCCTTTTTCATGTATATATACATATATATATATATATATATATATATATATATATATATATATATATATGAAAAAGGCATAGTAGTTGAAACATATTAATGATAAGACTGAATCTAAATTTATTCAAATAGCACTGTGATCATTATTTATTAAATATGAACAAACTATGCCTGTGTTCATTAAGTGAACTACAAGACTGGCACTGAGTGCTAAAATTAATTTATAAATGCACAGATTTATTTACATGTACAACAGATGCAAATATGATTGAAGCAGAACGATGAGTGAATCTGGATTAATTAAAGTTCTTCTTCAAGGTCTCCAGTGCTTTCTGTCAGTTGAACTTGAAAATGCAGAAAAAACAAAATAATGACCAAAGTTAATCAACATCGTACTTTTTTGACATTTTAAGTGAGCCAACTAAAGCATCCACCAAGAATCATTACACTACTATGTAAAACTCTCACTAAAGCGTTAGATTAATATTATTGATGCATTAGTAAACCATTTTTGCTTAAACTCAGATTTACTTAAAGCTGCACTATGTAAGATATATATTTATATTTATATTTAGCATTACTGAGTCAGGAGAAAAAACACACTAATATGGTTTGCTTGTTCTGCTGAGAGTCACCCTGTAAAGGCTGAAATAGTACTTTAAAGGCCAAAGATGTCATATGGGATTTCAAGGTTTTTCGGATCACCTTATATGTTTTAGATATTAATGTCACAAACACACAGACCATAATAGATCATTCTCTTACAGCGTTGGAAGACAAGAATAGACTTTATACACACTTGCAATCATCTTATTTATCCGCTCAGGGAAGGTGTCCGGCATTACAGAATGTTTTTATGCACCTTGTGTTCAATTACGCATTTCCATGAGTAAGGATGTTTTAGGTATTTGGAGACCTCTCTGGTAGAAATGTGTAACTACATGCAAAATGTGTTGGAAAGCAATATTTTGTAATGTCAGCTGGTCTTGAATCTGAGGATTGAGGTCTTGTTTCAAGAATATTCAAAGAGAACTCAGCCTATAAGCCTACATCATTTCCTTTTTACCTGTCACTGATTATAACTCCTCTGGCTGATGCAGGGCTTGGAGTGATCACTCTGGAGAGGGCGTACCCTTTGACTTTGGGCTCCAACATCGGCACAACCACCACGGCCATCTTAGCTGCTCTGGCCAGCCCAGGAGACAAACTGCCTGCTGCCTGTCAGGTAAGAGCAGACTGGAGTGGAGTTTGGGGCAGGAGGGACTTAGGGTTTGGGGAATTCTGCACACTTTGGCCTTATTTCTCAGACACAACTTTAACTTGGATTCAATTACAGTCACTGTGGGTATTTTTGCTCCAGGACAAGACTTGATTCATGTCCAGCAGGATGAGTCATTTAAAGGCACTCCAGAACAGCCAGCATCATCAGTGGTTTATTTCTGAAGTGCCCCACCAATGACTAAAAAAGGAGTAATATCACTGTAAGATTTTGTACAAAATATCTACAGATCTACAGACTTTGTTGGTCTCATTAAAGTAATGCACAATAAAGTAATATATTGGAAATGTACAGTACTGTGGAAAAATCAACATTTTCCATTAATTTAAATTCCAGTCAAAGTAGCTATTAACTAGATTTTTTTTAATTTTTCAGCATCAGGAAAAACATATATTTAACAGAAAATTATATAAAATATAATATATTTTGTCAGTATTCAATGTGTCCACTTATTTCCTTTATTACAGAGTCCATTCTTTTCAGGGGACTCGCTTTCAGTTTTTCTAAGAAGTTTGCAGGGATATTTTTCCACATCTCCGAAGTTCAGTCTTAGAAGTTGGTTGAGGTTTTTGCTTCTCATGATTGAAGGAGACCCAAACACATTCAGTCAAGGCTGTACCAACTTTTTGAGCATTTAGCACAGATGTTTCAAGTGTACCACAAAGTAAAAACAGCTGACACATAGCTGACTATGGAGAACTGACTACAACTTCTGTGAGCATTTGGACTTAAGAAAATATTTGAATGTGCACATGCTACTGTCATTTTGCATTGGACAGACCTGATTCAATGATGTTTAAGTCTGGACTCATTTTCTCAGTAACAGCTACACACCCTTTCAGACCCATAGTGTAAAGTTGTCTTCTCACTGTTTAAGGATGGACAGAAACTCCTGTGGTTGTTTTCAGATCTGAAGCAGTTTAATTTTCTCCTCTCTCTCAAAGATGAAAGCTTTAAGGGCTGTTTATCTGACGATGACAGCTTTAGTGGACTGCCAGATCTTGCACAGTTTTAGGAGTCCCATTTTCTCTGTATCTGTTAATAATATTTCAGTTAATCATCTTTTAATTCATATTGTCTTTTCACTTATTTTCCTTTGACTTTCCTCTTCCTTATACATATCTGCAAGAAATGAAGGAACTTGTGAACTTCACACTTGGATGTTTTCACTGAAAATTACATAAATGAAAGGTCTGAATGAAATGAAATGGTCTCTGACTTTTGCCAGTACTGTATTACAGTATGCTTATATTTTGGCATATACTGATAACATACAACAATGTCATTTTCATAGAGGAGCCTATAGCCTACTGTCCCCTCCATGCATTTCCCACGTTTCTCTTCTACTGGTTCAGTCTGAATATGATGTTAAAACATGCTGAGATCTTGATTATTATCTGAAAACAGTGCTGGGCAGAAGAGGAGGTCCAATAGATACAGCGAATAACTGCTTCATCAAACATTAATTTACCCCTCTGCCAAAGTCTCTAGTGGAATTCTCTTCACAGAAGTGTTGAAGAATGAATTATAAAGTCTTCCTAAACCCAAGTGGTAATTCTGAGGTCAAACCGATTATACAAGACCTTTATGTATTATAATTTATGGCTACAGAGAGAGCAGGGGCAGAGTCCCAGCTTTAACAGGGCAGGAAATGGAGGATTAACTGCACAGAGAAAGGAGGAGAGGAGAGACAGGGTGGAGAGATGAAATGAGAGGTGAGGAGAGAGAGGGCGGGATGAAAGACACAGAAAGGGAGGCAAATTGAGAGGGAAAGGTGAAGGGAGACAGGCTGAGAGAGGGGAGGAAACAGAGGGAAAGGAAGAGAAGGAAAGAGGAAGATGGAGAGAACGAGAGAGAGAAGAAGAGAAGGAACGAGAAAGATGGAGAGAGAGTGAGAGGGGTGAAAGAGAGAAAGAGAGAAATAGAAGGAGAGAAGGTGGGAGGGAAAGAGAAGGAAAGTGAGAGAGAGGGATAAAAAGAAAAAGGGTGAGACAGGGATTAAAAGAGGCAAAGTGAGTGAGAAGGGAAGAAAAAGAGAAAGAGAGAGAGACAAAGACAATGAGAGAGAGAGAGAGAAAGGTGAAGTGAGAGTCATAGAAGGAGAGAGAGAGACAAAAGAAAGTGAGAGACAGATTGAGAGAGAAGAAAGAAAGTGAGAGTAAGAGAGAGAGTAAAAGAAAGAGAAAGAAAATAAGAGTCAGATAGAGAGAAACAAAGAGAGAGAATATGAAACAATGAGACAATGAAAATGAGGGAGACAGAAAGAGAAAGAGAAAGAGAGAGACAAAGAAAGAAAGTCAGAGATAGATAAAGAAAGAGAGGGAGAGACAGAGAGAGAGAGAAAGAGGGAGTCAGATAAAGAGAGAGAGAGAGAGAGAGAGAGAGAGAGAGAGAGGTGGAAAAGACCTTAAATATGGTGAGAGAAGCATGGTTATTTGTGACCATGACACAGAGAACTGGAGGATAATATGTATACTTATTATCTCTGAAGCATATTTACTGTGAGTAGAGATAGAGATAGAGAGAGAGAGAGAGAGAGAGAGAGAGAGAAGTAAGAGAGAGAGTAAGAGTGAAGCTAGAGAGAGAGAGACAAGAGAGCCAGAGGGAGAAAGAGAGATGTTGAGAGGAGATAGAGGGTAATATAGAGCAAGAACGAGAGAGAAGAGGCAAGTAAAGCGTGGAGAGAAAGAGAGAGGGAGAGAGAAAAGGAGGGTGGAGAGAGAAGAAGAAGCACAGAGGGAGATAGAACGTGGGAAGAGAGAGAGAGAGAGAGAGAGAGAGAAGGAGAGAACACTAAATGAGTCAGCAAGTTCTTTTCTCTTTCCTGTCTTTCGAGACGGCGCGCTGGAAATTGCACTTTTGTATCCAGAGAGCTAAAATTACGACGGCTTATCAAAAATGCAGGACGAAATAACATTATCATGTCTCTCTCATTTTTCAGAGACCAAAAAAAACAAAACAATGAAATGAAAAAAAGAGCACCCAGTAGACGCTGCAGAGATGTTTACTTATTCATTTCCTCACTCTTGCCCTCAGATTGCACTGTGCCACTTCTTCTTCAATGCGTTTGGGATCTTGCTGTGGTATCCCCTGCCCTTCAGCCGATTGCCCATCCGCATGGCAGCTGCGCTGGGTGAGCGCACGGCTAAGTACCGCTGGTTCGCCGTGCTCTACCTGTTGCTGTGCTTTCTGCTGCTGCCCTCGCTCGTCTTCGGCCTCTCTCTGGCCGGCTGGCAGGCCATGGTGGGTGTGGGGGCACCTTTCGCCGGAGTCGCGGCCTTTATAGTCCTGGTAAACCTGCTGCAGTCTCATAGCCCCGCCCATCTGCCCAAAAAACTGCGCAGCTGGGAGTTCCTGCCACCCTGGATGCATTCCCTCAAACCCCTGGACAAGCTCATCACCAATACAACAGCCATGTGCTGCAGCTCTGCCCGGTCCACCACAGTGGCCACTGTTGACCCAGAAGCCCCTGGTAGCCCTGATACCACCAATGTAAAGTCAGCGTCAGTGATATTCCAGGGGAAAGTTCAACTAGCATTCGACAACCCTGTACTGTCCTATCAGGACGAGTCGCCTCCACAGCCACGGGTCTTCAAGCTGAAGGGGCTAGAACGCTGCAATAGCACGCCCTTGTAGAACTGAACTGACCACTCTTTTTGCTTCTCAGGGTCCACAGTAATTGACCCTTGACATATTTTAGACTTTCTGAATTGGACCTTAATTTTAAAGGGCCCATATTTTGCTTTTTTATATTTTATTTTTCCTAATATTTATGTGGTTTTATGTGTCTAAATCAGTCATGATCAATTGTTACATGACTATTAAACTGTTGTTATTACTGTGCCTTTTAGATTGGTATATGTAAATGATCTCTGTTCTGATTGGCTGCCCTGTATTGTGCCTCATTGAAAAAGCACTCAGAGCTGAAATCTTCCTTACAACGTGAATGGGAGGAGCTAAACTGCTCAGTATGCAACGTTATCTCCATATATGGACCACATAGACTGAGGAGGTTAAATGTTAAACTTTATGAATGTTTACATATTACAGCAAACTCCTTCTCCTAAAATAAGTCAGAAAAATTAGGCTTTTCGTTATATGAGTCCTTTTAAACTACATTAGCACCATCTTGTGTACATTTTCAATGGGATACTTTGTTAATAGTTACATTTCAGACTTTATTTACATTTGTACACTTTTTTTGGTTTAACTTTTCTAATGTATGTAATTTTGCTATGTGAAACTAACGTGATTACTGAGCTTAGACTTTGACTTACTTCAGGCTGGTTTCCTAGAACCAATGGAAGTCTGGACTTCATATAATCCATGCCTGTGAGATTTGCCTTAGATGTTGACATAAAATGGGAATTCCATTGTTTTTTTTAATCTCTGCATACTGTAATTCAGTCATGAAGATGGTAGTTTGATGTGAAATGGTTAATGGTAGAGGAACCAGGGGTTGCTTTGTCTACAACACAAATATAGTGTATATAATTTTTGTATATAATGTTGACAATGGTAAAATAATAATAAATAGGAAAAATGTTTTTTTTTTGCACTGTTTTGCTTTATACCTCCATGAAATTATTATTAAATACCTAAAGGTTTTAGATCAGAATCTTATATCAAAACTACTATAAAACAAAGTTTCGAACATCAAGCAATGTATTTGTAACCATTTTGTGTAACAGCTTTCTGTGTTAGGGGGTTTCAGATATATTAATTCCTTCAGACCACCACTGTGAACAATTGTGACTCAGTAAGCTTCTCTAGAATGGGGCACTAGGAATGATTGTACCATTAACCATTTAATTAGATGGAAATTTAGAAAAATTAGAGTTCCCCTATAATAACACTGTGGTCAATATGTGACTCGAACTCTGCTTTGATGAAGGTCCATGCTGAAATGTGTTGGGGAAGGACTTTTGCCCTTTTGTCTGTAAGCCCTGATATAATAAAAGCTTTTTCATTTCTAGAAGAATGGCATGGATATTCATTATTGAACCAATCTATGTTTTTTGGCAAAGCAAACCACCTATTAAAATACAAATTCTTCCAGTCTACATGTTCTTTTCTGAGTGTGAGAGTCCTTTGAAAATATCCCATCACCTTATTTGTGTGCTAAAACACTAGAATATGTTATATGCAGGGTTTTTTTTTCTAGATGTGTAGTATTAAAGTGCCTTTATGGAGCGTCTGAGTCAGGAAATGGTTAAATTTACTGAAGCAGGTATCTTCATATGTGCTTGTAGCTGTAGCCAAAGAACGCTGGGTTTGGTATAATTTATGTGTTAAATGTGCTCGAGTTATCCTGGTGTGAGCGTGTTTATTATCATTAATGCTGAGAGAATGGTGCTGCCTCAGCAGCAGCAGCAGTGTGGGAACGACTGTGCATCAATAAGCTCAGCCTGCACTGTTCAAAGAACAACTGGCTGGAGGATTACGTGCCTGGTGTTTAAAACCGTGTACAACAGGCTCAGATAAGAATCTATCAGGCTGGCGGGCCACTTTCTGCTACTCCAACCAGAGAGACTATCAAATAACAGCCACTGCACTCTTGAAAATAAGGTGATGAAACAGATTTTTTAGAGCTGGGCTCAAAACTGGTTTGAGGAACACAAATGATAACTAGAAATGCATGTTTTTTTGCTTGGAATAACTGAAAATACTGACATTTCTTAACTCATAAATTGTAATCTGTTGCTGTTTATTTATTTATTTTTTTCTGTGTAGCCCACAAAGCTCACATATCTTGCCTCCACACTCCCAAAGATCTTTAGATCAACAGCTTGTATGGCATTTTTTCACGCAATGTATCATTTTACTCTCTAACTTATTGTTGCATTTGTTCTAAATGGTTTAGAAGTGTTATGTTCATGTTGGGATTGAACAACAGAAACTGTGATTTCTTAAAAGCCCTGCTTTGAAGCACTGCTATAGAATAGTGATGCAACTAAAAATTTCTAGAAATGTTAAAATTCTCGGTCGAAACATAAACTGAAGTTCAGGACAAGGACTAGATTGAAAAAATCTGACAATAATTAAAACCCTTTTCTTAAAATATACGAAATATACATATACACTAATAAACGCTAACACCATTACAGTACGTAGGCTACAATATGTGCCATGAAATCCAGCGCCCTCAACAACACAGAAATGTTTTATTGCATTGTGCATATTAAACAGGATGCTGCTTTCAGATGGTAGCAAACCTGAGGTGGAGAAGTTCTTTGGTGTCCCACCTCCTCTTGAAACTGAACAGAAAAAGAGATTAAAAATTGCTGTCTGATGTTTCTCATAGAAAATGTAAAGTAGTTCCACATGGCCAACACTTTCATTGTTGATCTGCTGCTGCTCAAACTGTTTGAACGTGTCTGAACTGACTGTTGAAGGAAAGTGAAGGAAACAGTGTTCTTAATCATTTGTAATTTTAATTCACTGTAGGCCTATTTAATCTTATTTTAGTTATTGTTATTTTTTGTCAACATTTTCTCTGGTCAAAAGACAAAAGGTAATTCCTACCGAGAATAATGAAAAATCAATTTTTGGTTCCTTGAAAAATTTCAGCTGATGGTTTGTTGATGAACTGACACGTGAAGGTGAAGAACCTTTTAAAGATGCTTTAGGAATCTCCACATAATGTAAAGGTTCTATATCAGCTAAAACAGGGGTCACCAATCTTATCCACCAAAAAGCCAGTGTGGGTGCAGGTTTTCTTTACAACCAAGCAGGAGGTCAACTTATATAACTAATTAATTGTTTGAAAACTCAGACCAACTGATGTAAACAAGTAGAATCAGATGTGCTTCTGTTCAACTGGGATGAAACACTGCAGCCAGACCGGCCTTTGGTGGATAATATTGGTGATGCCTGAGTTAAAGGCTTTTACAGCCACACATTCCAGCCACGAGCCATTTAGAATCCTTCATGTGAAAGAGGGTAAAAGACAGTGATACAGCAATGTTTTGTTTTCTATTGGCCACGTTAGAGGGCAGTTTTGCCAGTCTTTCAGTAGTTCCTGATTATTGCTTTAAAAACATTCCTTTGTTCATTGCTATTTCCGTATGGAACATCAATGAAAACATACACCAGCGCAGGCTGTGAGCTTCATATTAAAGTTAATACTGACTTCCACGGCTGGTTTTGTATGACATTTGTTATATAAGGCTCTCAACAAACGCATTGAAAATGTCAAATCTTATTGATATTACTTTTTAAAGGGTAACATTTGTAAGTCTTTTTTTATTTGGTTTCTGGAGCATTGGAGGATTGGTTCCACTATTTTTGTCATGAATGAATGGCTTTCACATTCCATATCACACTTCAAACCTGGATCATGTGCTAGACTACTGATCATTTCTTTGAAGGGGATGAAAGCAGCGCTGAATGGATGGATTTCCAAAATTACACTTGATGTCGATCCCTCAATCATGGAGGAGCCCTACGTGTTATCATCTAACCATCCTGAATGAAAGCAAATGTAAGAAAGCTCAGACAAAGTAACCATATTTTCCCCAAAATAATAATAATATGCTACAATATTATGTTACATATGTCACATTAATTTTGTTAATTTTGCCAAAATCTTTCCACGCCCATATTGTTTGCCTCTGCATGCTTCATAACACATACACCAACCAGCTACTTAATTAAGTATGCCTCCTTCCATCTACACTCACTGTCCATTTTACCCTATACCCTAAGTAACTTAGTAGTTCTACAATTACAATCTCTAGAGTGAAAGGGGGCAACAAAGTATACAGAGAAACAGACAGACTATAGTTTGTTCTTATAGAACTACAAAGTTCACTTGTATGGTAAGTGCAGCTGATAAAATGGACAAAAGTGTAGATATAATGAGGTAACCTTTATGAAGTGGCTGGTCGGTGTATACTGTAGAAGCAGTATAATTTAGATTGATCATTGACATCTATGGTTTCTACCCTTAATGTCTTACGAGTTTAGATATTGCCTGGAATGAGTTACAAATGAAAATTGAGTTTGCGGTTAAATTAGTTCAGCATTACACATCCACCATGCTTTAGTTTGCACATTTTCAGAACAGCAAGGACAAACATGGTTGTTTATGAACAGCACTGCTCTTATGAAGCTATTTGACTGATCATGGTGCCCCCTTGTGTAAAATTTCTATCCTGCTAAAGAGATGCAAGAGAGATGCAAGCCAGAGCCATACAGTGCTTAGTATCTAAAAAACAAAAATATGAATACAATTTACTTAAATGAAACTTGTTAAAGTTATTACAGTATGTAGGCTACAGTATTTTCTATGAAGTCCAGTGTTTTTGACAACAGAGAATGTTATTTAGTTATACTTTACACTCAGCCAACATCTTTATCGCTGTTGATCTCCTGCTCAAACTCTTTGAATGTGTCCACAGGGTTTTTAATCACATTTCTCATTTTCAAAATCATTCAAATGATCTGTTGAGTGTCAGATTTTGAAACATCGTTCATAGACCTATTTAATTCTGGTAAAAATTTTGGCCTTTTTTCTCTTTCAGATGAGAGCTAAAAGTGCCACTAATGTGACTAATTTTGGCTGAAATGTTTTGGTGGCCAAAATTTTGGTACATCCTATATAACATACTGCAGTACTTCTAGGGCCTTCTAGATCTCAGCCTTCTGTTCTTGGCTCACAGATCTGGAACTCAACATGGTCTCCTGCTGTTGTAGCCCATCCACCTCAAGATTCCACATGTTGTGCATTCTGAGATGCTTTTCTGCTCACCACAGTTGTAGAGAATGGTTATCTGAGTTACTGTAGCCTTTCTGCCAGCTCAAACCAGTCTGGCCATTCTCCATTGACCTCTCTCATCAATAAGTTTCTGTCCACTTACTGGATGTTTTTTTTCTTCATTGCACCATTCTGCATAAACTCTAGAGACTGTTGTGCATGAAAATACCAGGAAATTAGCAGTTACAGG